TAAACATGAATTCCAAATAGTGAATTTATTTGGTGAATTCATAAAAGAGTTTGGATTTCGGATAGACCTTTCGTTATCATATGCAAATTCGGTATATGCATATACAGTAAATTACAAATATGGTAAGCAGCAAATACGGTAGGCTGGCAAATACGGTAAGATGTAAATACGGTAGGTCGCATATACGGTAAGCGGTATATACGGTAAATTGCATATATGGTATGCGTCAATCCGGTAAGTGACATAAATGGTATGAAGTTGTAAATCCGATAGATGTCCATGGATTTTGATTTGAAAATTATACAAACCTTGATTAATGATGATAGCCTCAATTAATTTTATGAAATTAAATTAGATGACTTATGCAAAATTATAGTTGCATAAGAGTACGACAAAATGTGATTTTGTCCTAATTATTTTAAAGTGAAAATTGCTTGTGCAATTATTGGGATATAAAAATAGTTTACAGAGCACAAATTGTGTCTATAGTTGGCAGTGGTGCCGGATATCCTTAAAAATAATGATTGACAAATGACATTCATTTGTAAAGGATAAAAATTATGTTATGCAAAAATTGTGAAGATTATTATGAAGTATTCTAGAATTAATTCTATGAGGTATGTCATTTTGTAAGGTTGTAAATTTAAGAACACAACTTGTTAACATATGGTTGATTAATTCATTGAAATGTGAATATGGTGACTATGGTGAAATGTACCTTATTATTTGACATAAATAATATTATTTTGTGAAATGTCATAATGTGATAAAATCATATATGTTCGTAGAAGTTGCAAGTCTTGTGAATCAAGGTGCTTTGTCTTCTTCATTATTGAAATTGACTTCAATCGTGGAACCAATTAAGTTGGTAGAACCAATTAAGTAGGTTTATGCTTGGAAAAGCGTTAGTGGTCTAGTGATGACCTTAATGATGACCTTGATTAATTTGGAAGATCAAATTAATATGGTTGATTGAAGTATAATTTTGAATGAAAAAATGATTTTTCATACATATGAAGCAATGATCACTATTTTGAAAGTACTTAGACTTTCACTCGAATCGAATATTATTTAAGTGATAAATAGATTGAACTATGAAAGAGTTGATGAACTCTAAGTTCAAAAATAACCCAAAAATGTGGGGGTTATCATAAATACTTGAGAACTTATGTGAAAATTTCAAGACGTGTGGGTGCAACACTACTACTTGCGCATATATTCATAATTCAAGGATTGTGGGTGTAACCTAGTTTAAAGTGACACTTTAAACTAGCTCTCAAGAAAATGGAAGAGACTGCATATGAGTTATGGAAAGTCATCATCCTTCCTACCAGTACTTAAAAATGTGTGGGTGTTTGGCAAAGGTTAAGGTTCCTAAGCCTAACCAAATAAAGATTTGTTTCAAAATGATTGATTGCATATTTATTGGATACGTCAATAATAGTAGTGCATGTCGTTTAC